GCCGAGGGTTCGGATCCCACATACAGACCAGCCGCTCACTGGCTGAGCGAGATGCGGGAGCAACACCAAGGGTTGCGATCCCGTTGCCGGTCCTGGTCCGGTGCGGGCGCGACACTGAGGGTTGCGATCCGTTGCCGGTCACGAAAAAAGACAAAAAGGAAAAAAAAAAAAGATCCCAAAATGGGGAGACAAAGAAAGAGAAGGGGACAAAGAAAGAGGGAACAAAGAAAGAGAAGGGGAATAGTGGCACAACACAAGCTTGTAGAAGTAGGCAGGGACCAGGTTATCATGAAGGACCTCAGAGCAAGGCTTTTCAAACTATAGATAGATTTTCCAAGTAGCAATAAGGAGTTAACTAGACAGGCAAAGTTCTAAAACTGTATAGATGCATATATCAGTTCTCAGTGTATATGAGAGAGAAAAAGAGACACTGACAGAGCGTGAGCCTTTTGATTTCTACCTAACATCTTACAAACTATGGCTTCTTCAGAGGAAGAGATTGAGACAGGGAAGGAGGATGAGCAGGTTCAAATCTAAATCTGCAGAATCTAATAATTCAAAAATTATTAAGATAGCAGCAGGGGGCTGGCCAGTTAGCTCAGTTAGTTAGAGCACAACCTTATAACACCAACCAAGCTCATGGGTTTGGATCCCCATCCCAGCCAGGCACCAAAAAAAAAAAAAGATAGAAGCAGGTGTTAAGGGGCCTCAGGAGGCTTTCCCAGCAGTAATATAACACAAAATTAATAAGTCCAAGGTTGTTTTTCCAGTGTCTGTATTTATAAAGTCTTAAACTTCCACTCGTGTGCAATTTGGAAAGCAAATTTAAGCATTTTAGGAAGCATGTTGCGTTTAACAGAGGTGGAAAGGATAGGATGTTTGCATTTTTTCCCTTGAGCCACAGATTTTTTTGTTGTTTAATTTGGTTTAGTGTTTTTGAATTGGTAAATTTGAGTCTCTTATTCATTCTTTTTTGAGTTTGAAAGTAGCCATATTTAACAAATTAATAGAAGCCAAACCATAGTGGCCATTTTTAATGCATATTTTTTAAAAATATCACAAGATAGGTATTCTTTATAATATTTTTTAGTGTATCAAGATAAAGATATCTTGAGACTACAACAGAAAAGTTGATTACCTTGCAGCCTTTCCCCACCAGGGTTTTTCATCTGAATCACAGAACACAGAAAATTATTCCACTAACTATTTTTTCAATTGCCCTAGGGATGATACATAGGTAGTTGCATTCTAGATGCATATTAGAGAAGGCAATTTATTATATACATTGGATGCCTTAAGGTATTAGGGCTTAATTCTCTCCCTGAACCCCAGTTGAATAAACTTCTAGAGTATCCAAAGAGCATTTACTTGTTTGTTCATTCTGTATTAAGGTGTTTTTACTGTAATGGCATAAATTTCTAGAATATACTGCAGACATTTCCATATGAGATTCTGAAAATCATTATTTATGTTGTCTTTTTTCTCTGAAAAAAATGTACTTTACATCATTCATTAATACTATAACTGATATAGTAAAGGAATTTTTGTATATAATTTTCTTTGACTTTACAAAGCTCTTTGAAAGACAATCTGAAATTTAGTATATAAATCAAAAGTGATTTGAGTAAAAATCTAATTGTCAGTTACTAAGAGCATGAACACTTCCCATGGATTCTGTCAACAAAAGTAAGAGTAGATAACTTTGGGGGAAAATGTTGCAAAACATTGTAGTTCATCATAATTCTAGTTTAACTAAATTTATATTATAATATAGGATGTCTTTATTTGTGATGAAGACGAATTGTAAACTTGATTTCTCACATAGATTTCTCATCCCAACGTATCTGTGCCTCAGACAACACAATGAATGATTCCTTTTGTGTATATCATTGATTAGTATAGCTCCTAGAATAACAGAAAAGAAATAGATACTGTGTACTTCTTGTTCCTTAGATCAGTACAATGCAAAATGAATTTTCAATAAAAGAACATGGGTTTGAAGTTCAATTGAGAGAGATGGAAGAAAGTAATCGAAATTCCACTGTTGAACTGAGGCATCTCTTAGCAACTCAACAAAAGGCGGCCAATAGATGGAAAGAAGAAACCAAGAAACTTACTGAAAGTGCAGAAATTAGAATCAGTAATCTAAAGTAAGTTCACTATTAATTGTTTGACATGTTTTACAGAAGAAATTATTTAATCTATAGTTTAATGTTCTTGCCATGATCTTTTTGTAAAAATGTATAATTCTGGACCTTGTAGTTATATTTTTTATTCAGCAAATATTTATTGAACTACTATAAAAATATTAAGCATTATAAGCCAATACAAATATTGAATATTTTTGTCAATTCCAAAAATACAATGATTTTTGTTGGACATGGCAGTTTAGAATGTTAGTAATATTTGTGTATAGGTGTAGCATATATAATGTTCTATAAGTGCAACAGATTCTAGCCTGCAAAGCCTAAAATATTTGCTCTCTATCCCTTTAAGAAAAAGTTTGCTGACTCTTCCTCAGAAAAAAATGTGAAATTTTGTGCTGAATGAGATGGGAAGCTTAAGTACTTCAAGATGAAATGAGATTGAAGGGCTTTGAACAAAGTGATGTGATCAGACTTAAATGTTCAACAGATGACTTTGATGGCTGTGCAAAGAATAGACTTTAGTGAACCTAAAACTGCTCTAAAAAATAAAGTCTATTCTTCTAAAAAAAAGAAAAGGATAGACTGTAGAGGAGCAAGGGTGGAGGAAGGGAGAAGGAGATCAGTACTGTTGGCTTGGACTAAGTTTTAAAGAGCTGGAGATTTTTTTTAAAAAATTGTTTTTGGCCATGTTAAGGGAAGGCTGCCCAAAAAACATTTAAGTGAGTTATCAACCAGTGAGGATATCAGCTATCAGTTACGTGTGTAAGTTTGGCATTCAGGAGAGAGATTTCAAAAGGAGCTTTTGTAAATTTGAGAATCATTAACATACACATGATTTTTAAAACTATGGGATGAGAATGTGGTGAAAAGTAGTATAGGTAGATAAATGAAGCAGTCCGAGGACTGAGTTCCAAAATTTAAAGTTTAGGGTGTTAAAGATTGCACTGAAAGAGACTGAGGAAGAAATGGGAATTCCAGAGAAATAGGCATCAAGACAATATGGTTAAAAAAAAAAATCAGCAAGGTAGTAAGCAATAATGAGTTTATATATATTGAACACTTAATGTGTGCATTGTTCTAAGCAACTTTACATGTTCTCAATTCACCTTCACAACAACCCTACAAGGTATATAACATTATTCTGTTTGCAGATAGGGAAATTGAGGGCGAGAGGTTTAGAAACTTGTTCAAATTCATATACTAGCAAAGTGACAGATCCTGGTTTGAAATTGAGCTTGGGTAAAGACAATGCGCTCTTAACCGTTATGTTTCATAAAAAGCTACTAATTGGTTGAGTAAGGTGAGGACCGAGAATGGACCTTTCAATTTGGCGCCATGTGGTAATCTTTGTTAAGAGGAGTTTTGGTGGAATGCTGGAGTGATATATTTAGAATAAATGAGAATTTCTGCTCCCAGTTAATGGTGAGCTAGGCAGTTTGGACCAACCGTCCATTGTAACTAAAAACCTTAGTTAAATTATAAAAAGCATCTACTAACAGCATTAAAGAACTAACAACAACTATAAAAATCACTACCAGTTTGGCTCTGTCTCAGAACTGCAAAGTTAGTCTAAAGTTAGAAAATCAATTAATGTAATTTACCCACATTAACTTATTAAAAGGGAAAACTCATAAGGTCTTCTCAATAGGTACAGAAAAAGTATTTCATAAAGTTTAATATTTGTTCAGGGATTTTTTTTTCCCAAAATCTCTCTTAGCAAACTAGTAATAGAATTTCCATAATTTTATAAATGTATCCATTCCACAGCAAACATTATTCTAAATGGCAAAAAACCAAAAAAGTTAATAACATTTTATTGAAGGTTAAGAAGAAAAGAAGTCCACTATTACCACTACTGTTAGTGTTTGTATCGGAAGTCCTAATCAGTGCACTGTGGCAAGAAAAAGAAATAAAAGCTTGACAGACTGGAAGGGAAGAAGCAAACAGTCATCCTTAAGAGACAACATGGTTATATATGTAAAAAGTGCAAAATAATTGAGAGACAAATTATTAGGTGAAAATACAAAAATCAATTGTATATCGACATACCAGCAACAAACATTTCAAAAATAAAACTTTAAAAATAATAAAATTTACATTTATGTCAAAAAACATCAAATACCCAGGAATAAATCTAACAAATGATGTGTAAGACTTTTTTGTGAAAACTATAAGTAATATTAAGAGTAATTAAAGAAGGCCCAGGTAAATAGAAGTATAGACCATGTTGTTTGGAATACTCAATATTATAATTATGTTCATTCTTCACCCCCAACTGTCTATCAATTCAGTGTAACACTAGTCAGAATCCTAGCACAAGCAGCAATATCAGAAATATATTAAATGAAGAAGCAAGTAATATAACAATATGTGTAGTGGTCTACCCTTATCTAAGAGGGAGGAGTATGTGTGTTTGTGTGCACACATGTACATATATGTATATAAATATGTTATATACATATACACAGTCACACATACACACACAAATTTCCATTTTTGAAAAGGGAGAGGTGAGCTAAACCATAACTTAAATGGTAATCTATGAGAGGAGAGAGGGGATAGGATGAAAGCTAGACTTATTTGAATGAAACTGGTTTTGTAGATTTATAGGCCTGACTTTGGAACTATATAAATGTTTATATCATTAATTTTGAAATTAAATCAAAAATTTAAAAGCAATATCTAAAGATTGAAAATAATATTAAACAAATGAACTTAATTGTATAGGAAGTTGATGGCTTAACTATAGAGATGAATTATTTCAAGTGATATTAAACATAGTAATTAGACTGTATATCCCTAGTGGGATAAATCCTAAAGATAAAAGGAAATGCAAAAAATCGTAAACTGTTTTTAGTAATAATACTGTTAGAAATAATTTTGGTGGTAGTGTTCTGAAACTTATAATTATAGGATAAGGCAATTGAGTAATTATATAAATGCCTTTAAAAACCAAGATTTTCATTATAAAAGAGAAGAAACTCAAATTAAATAAACTTGTAATTCTAAATTGAAAATAGCAGTATTAATATATGAACACGTGATGTGTTTTACTCTTTAAAAATATGTATTTCCTAGCTTAGTCCTTTCAGTGGACAATGAAAAACAATGACCACTGGGCCGGCCCAGTGGTGCACTGCTATAGTGCGCCAGTTGAGAGCGCAGCGGCGCTCCCGCCGAGGGTTCGGATCCCACATACAGACCGGCCACTCACTGGCTGAGCGAGGTGCAGGCGCAACACCGAGGGTTGCAATCCCATTGCTGGTCCCGGTCCGGTACGGGCGCGACACTGAGGGTTGCGATTCGTTGCTGGTCACGAAAAAAGACAAAAAGGAAAAAAAAAAGAAAAACAATGACCAGTAATCAGCTGCAATGAGATCTTCTAAAAGAAAGCAGGACTCCTTGGAGAAATGACTGATTACAGATTTGGGTCAAGGAAGTACAAGATGAACCTAGAAAACAATTGGCCAAGCAAAAAGCAAGGAAAAGATATCAAGATTACTGGGGTCATGTCAAAAGGACCCACAGGCTAACTTGAAAAGGCTCCTACTGGCCCATGTGGGGACAATTTAGACATCAAAAAGAATATCTGCAATAAATTAAAACATATCAAATATATTTTAAAATCCATGACTTTAAAATGGTATTAAATTTTTTAAAAAAAAGTTTTTGGTCACCTTTGGAAGATGCTATGGAACCAACTCATTCTAAAAAAAAGATGAAGAGAAAAGTCAAGCATCTATTCTACCCTTCCTTTACTCACTATACTTTATCAAATGCCATTTGGCTTTTTGTACCATAACAGCCCACACTTCACTGGTCAAAGAACCAATATAGGGAATTTGCCAGTTGCTCATTATGTCTATACCAATTATGCATTCCAGAACCATGGAAATAACCACAGGGTAGGATTATGGACCCACTATGAGATAGCCCAAACCAAAACTCCATTGATAACCTGACCGAAATAAATCTGTTTGGGGTGGGGGACCACAGTGGTATTTAGGATCTCCAGGAATTTGTTAGATCATCAATAGTGTCTTCTAATCCTGAAAATGTCTTGATTTCCGCTTCCCCATTGCACAGTCATACTGCTAACTCTTCACAGGTCCCCTTGGGGAAGGCCAAGAGGAAGTATACATATATAGATATATAACAGGGTTCTTCTTAAAGGGATCTGCTTCCCGTTTCTTTATTCAAGAGCTCTGAGTCTGTGAACTGGCTCAAGTTTGAGAATTGGTTGAAGGGCAATGACTCTCTTGAAGTGCTTCAAGTCAGACTGCTGTTCATAAGATCCAGAGCTTTTCTACTTCAACAAATCAAATAAGCTTTAGAAGATTGTCCATCTGTTTCAGTTCTAGAGACACAATGATCAACCTAGCAAATCCCAAAAGTCTGCAGATCAGACTTCAGACTACTTTTAACTCTGCTGCTGATTCTAGTAATCATGCTCACATTGTCTTTGAGATGTAATGTCACTACATCTGCCTTGCCATTGAAAATCCTACTATTTCCTTTGAATTAAGGAAGCCCACTTCCATGGCAGCAGTTCCCACTGTCATTTCTGTCCCACTGAGAATAACTACCACAGTGTTCTTCAGGGATACTGGGCTCACACTCTTGGTGAAGGAATGTCCTCTGAACACTCCTGGGGGACAGAATCAAAGAATGAATGGACTAGTTTTAAATTTAAAAATCCACTCCAACCTTTCAGTCTCTTACTTTCTTTCTACCAGAAGTTCCCAAGTGGGAACAATTTGTCAGTAGTGCCAAGGGTTGAGAAACTCTACATAATAAGGAACTTCTGACATTTCAGTTTTGTCACCTTTGAGTCCCAATTTTATTGAACCACCCAAGCAAACCAAGACAGTCAAGTTAACACATTGAATCCAGAATATCTGCTTTACAAGCCCATACTGATAAATTTGGGCTAACTCAACATTTTCTTCCTTCCACTTTAATCTAGCACCCTTAGGATGCATTCTCCCACACACTCCCCAGGT